CGTGTGTGTGTGTGTGTGTGTGTGTGTGTGTGTGTGTGTGGGGTGTGTGTGTGTTATGTATAACTATACGCATACATATTACTGATATAAATTCGCTTTTTTTTCTCATAATATCTCCCGCAAACAAGATTTTTTACACGCTTATTCTCTTTAAGCGTGATGTCTGTTGTGGACAAGATTTTTTACACGTTTATTCTCTTTAAGCGTGATGTTTGCTATGGACAAGATTTTTTACACGCTAATTCTCTTTAAGTGTGATATCTACTATGGACAAGATTCTAATAATCTAATATTTAACATTTTTAACCTGCCCACGAGGGATCAGCAATTTCATTGTCATTCACGGCATGTAACCTTAAAGTACTGCGTTTTTTTTAGCAATATTAGCATATAATTTATCTGTTGACATAAGAGACAAATACTTTTCTTCAATCACCATTTAAATATGTTTCTCCTCTCACCCTTAATCCTGATTTTAAAACGCACGTGGCATTAATGAAAGCCGACGATAATCTATTTCGATTTTTTGTTTTTAAATTACTTAAAGAGGAAAACATTCTCTCTGGGTCGGCATTTGAATTTGGAAGTGATCGAACAGCATTCAAAACAAGATTCCAGAAGTCTTTCTACACATAAGTAATGAGAAAGCCAGCGTGTATCACATAATTTTAACAATTTGTGATTTGTTCTTGGAAACACTCAGAAAATTTATTGTCCCATATTCATACAACCAAATAAAAATTAAATTTATTCAAAAAGAACTAGATATCTTTAAAATTGACTAAAATCTCTTCTCTAAAAAGTTATTAATAATAATTATTTTACATTAATTATTATATTCTTCCTAGCCATTCTAAATTCGAGAATATTTTTATAAATAAAAACATAATTTATTAATCCCTGATACAAAAGGTAAAATAAAATTATCTTCCCTACATTAAAACTTTTTCATTTACATTACTTAACTTTATAATTACAAAAAATTATTTCTTCATTTATTACTATAACTAATTCCCAAACATAATTTTATTTACCAATAAATAATTTACATTATCCTCAAAATAATTAATTTTTACATTTAGAATTAAAACTAAGTTTTTCTTAAATTTAACAGTATTATTCCAATAAATTCTTTAAATGAAATTTTATCTAAATACATTTTCCAATATATTTACTATGTTACGACTTCTCTCACTCATGTATTAATGAGAATGACGGACAATTTGTACACATTATAAATCTATTATTAATTAATAAAATTATACTAAATTTAATTAAATTCTTCCTCAATTAATTATTAAAAATTAATATTCGAATAATCTATTAAACTGTAACTCATTTTAAACCCTGTCCAAACTACATTTTGATTTGAATTTAAATTTAATATCAAAAATTGTTTAATTATTAATCTAATAATATAATTTTAAAACAACAATATATAAATTTATAAACAGATTCATCCTATATTGTTTATCCTATCGTGGATTATCAATTTACACAACAAGTTCCTCTAATTAATTATATTTAATATATAATATTTAATTTTATATTTTTTTATTGTGAATATATATATATATATATATTCACAATTATAAAGAATTAATATATTAATATTATTTAAAATTATTAATATTATTTATATTATATTATATTAATATTATTTATAATTTATTTAATAAATATAATTGATAATAGTAAAACTAATAGTTGATATGAAAAAGAATATATCAATCGCAAAAATAAAT